TGGACTCCAGAATAATGAGGGCTACCCTCACAGCAGGAGGCAAGCTATCTCCAAACTACCTTCTCACGGCTGCCTCATCTGCCATTCACTTAGGACTTTTACACCTTCATCCTTTTCAGCGTTGGTTGATAGCCAGACGGTTGTCGGCAATGTTTCAAACCGACATACCCGTGTTTTGATGAAAACCAGACAACCAGGTACACGACAACTATTGCCAGTTTCGGAAGGACCTACTGTCACAAATGAACGGGGAGCTTTGGCACCCCTCACCGGGCAAGTTGAGTCTATGTGCATGGCCCCTGGGGTTGAGCAGGAGCTCTCACAGTGTTCTGCAGATGTGAGGAACACTGTCATGAATGCAAGAGCCCCATCAACATGTCGTACTTATGCCAGTAAATGGAAGATCTATGTTTCATGGTGTACAGATCGGTCTATTAACCCAGTATCTTGCTCTATTAGTTCAGTGTTGGAATTCTTACAACATTTATTGGACACTGGGCGGTCCCCAGCGACTCTAATGGTATTCGTGGCAGCCTTGTCAGCACATCGGAACCCCTTGGGGGGGAAATCGATTGGTGCGGAAAAATTGGTGGTGGCTTTCCTTAAAGATGAACTGAACTGAAAAATATCGACGTTGAAAACGTGTTGTTTATGACAATTAAAAGTAAATTACACTAAACATTTTTAATATATATATATTAATATAGCTTTTTTAAGCAACGCAAAATTGCGCTTGTTAGCGCTGGCAGTTCCGATGACGTCACTGGCATGGTAGGACCCGCGGAGCGCCATAGACAACAGCTGTAGGTCCTGTATACACAGACGAAAATGAGCACTTTTAACGGCATGGATTACGCATTTGAGCCCGTGAGGGACAGGCCGGTAGTGTCTGACTACCACCACATGGAGGATGATCAGTTTCAGGCTTCACTTGCAGTACAGGATCGATTGGAGGAAAGTGACTGCGGGCGCGAGCGCTGTGAAGCATAGAGACGATCTGTCGTAGAGAGGTCAACATGGACATTTATTGATTGGCGAAAAATGCATTACCATGCACCGTTCATTTCGGATGCTGTTCGGTGAGAGGAACGTGTTGAAGGAGGCTATGCTGTCTCTAATGGATGTCCGAGCTGAGACGCGAGCGCCCCATCAGTAGCAGGGTATTTTACGAATAGGCGACTAGGCTGGGCTAACTTGTTACACTTTTCTCAGATTGTTTAGATTAACAGCGTACTGGCAGTTCACTCTATGGGCGAGGGTGCATTTAGGAAGGAGAATCCCATCCTCAGTGAACAGTGAACTATACATCTACAGTGAACTATACATCAGGGATCTTTTCCCCCTCACCCGAACATCAAGGATTCGAGTAACGTTAACGTGATGCGTTGAACTTGTAACTTGTGTAAATAAAACATTTCATGCAGACATTGTCAGACGTTTCATGTACTCATTGACGAAAGTACACATCTCTAAATAGTGTGTCGCTAAAAAATCTGTTTCTTCAGCCATGTCAGCTAGCCTCAGACTGTTTACAAGCTACGGCTGTTCTGCTGGTGCGGGTAGGCAACGGAGTGGCTTACCATGCCAGTGACGTATCGAATGTTGAAATCCAACATGGCGGCGCCCGTGTAACAAAAACAACACTTTCAATGTACCATTTTATCCCTTTTAACAAATTCTGACATTTTAAAAATTGTACCAATGAGAATAAATAAAATACATCTGTTATATCACCTTTTCTCAAATTTCAGTTCAGTTCATCTTTAAAGGAGCAGTACGTCTTAATCCACCGGTGCGGATAATGCATACCCAGTGGGATCTTCAGATGGTACTTGACAGTCTGCGTTTACTGCCTTATGAACCACTTGAACAGGCTGATATTAGAAGTCTCTTGATGAAGACTGCTTTTCTCTTGGCTATAACGTCAACCAGAAGAGTAGGTGAGCTTCATGCCCTCTCGGTGAGTCCACAGTGTCTCAGGTGGGGGCCTGAGAACAATCAGGTTACACTCTGGCCGAATCCAGCTTTCCGACCTAAGGTGTTGTCTGATGGCTTTGTGAACCAACCCATTCCGCTTGCAGCGTTTCGTCAAGAGGCTTCCCAGATGGCCTTGTGTCCAGTGAGTGTATTGCAACCGTATGTATTGAAGACCGCTTCATGGCGCATCACTCATCACGGATGAATAGCAAGACCGCCAGATCACTCGGATTGAGAGAATGACTGCAGAGAACGACCGTGACATGAACGTAGCGGATATAGCTTCTGACATGTCATCGGTCAGGGTCACAGGTGACAAATCAATACGAGATTCTCGATATGGCTCGCGAGACGCGACTCCTTCCACTATGTTCGACCGTCTCTGGCGGTCTTCCACTATTCATAGAACCAAGGTTACATCAGTAACCGGCGTTCTCCAACTTCTCCAGCTGTTTTATTGACATCTTTCCGTGGTTGAAAAACACTGATCGATCGGTTTTATTTCAGTAAGTTAGCAGTAAAGAGTAACAGATGATCGGTTCACGTGCCGCTTGAACTGAGATCTGTTAGTGATCTTTCACGTGATCACGTCACATTCACAAGCGCCAAAACGGTGTTTATTGTTTAAATATCGTAATAGAATCTGAGAGCTGAGAATCTGTCTCATATCAATAACAACCTGCTCTGTCTGTTGGTGTCAGTGTCCTCTTGCTCTTTTTTCATTCGAGAAAATCGGCGCAATTGGCCTTATGCACAGCTGCACTACTTCCTGAACTTAAGCCAGCTCCTTGTTTCCTGTCTGCCATTATTGGTCAAATTGATTAATTCAGGTGTGCCTGACCTCAGTAGTCACAGCAACAATAATCAGACACACCTGCATTAATCAAGTTTGGGCAATAATAGCAGACAGGAAACAAGGAGCTGGCTTAAGTTCAGGAAGTAGTGCAGCTGTGCATAAAGCCAATTAGGCGCAAACTACAAATTCGAGTTAATCGATAAAATCGATTTATCGCCCAGCCCTACCCTGAACTCTTGATTGATTAATCCAAACCTTGCTTACTCGAGGTACAGTATGCTGGTTCCAAAAACACACCTGGGAGTTAGGGCTGAACGATTTTGGAAAATAATCTAATTGCGATTTTTTTAACCAATATTGCGATTGCGATTTAATATGCGATTTAAAAAAAAAAGTTATTTACCTTCTGTGTTAGTCGACAAAGACAAGCAATAAATCATTGTACAGTAGGGATGGGAATCTTTAGATAGCTCATGATCCGATCTACTTTTTTTCTTATTAATTAATCTTAATAACTCTTAAAATATGTATTTAATTACATGTGTAAAAACACATACTTTAAAAAATAAATATAAAAAAAACATTTAATTAAACCAATTACATGTTAAGAATTTTAAATAGGCTATATAAAATAATATAGCTTCAAAATATAAAAGCTAGTAAATAAAAAGAAACAAAAAAAAACATTACAAGCAATAAACAAAGAGTGGTCTCAGTATTTAAAAGTAGGCTGTCTGAATGTTTTTCATTCAAGAGCTGGAGTGATTTCCCCTCAGTTTAGATACGATAAGCTGCATTCACACTAATGCATATATCTCTTTTGAAATTGTAAATGTGGTTTGTCCTGTTGGTTTAAGATGTAACTGACCGTGTTTACATCAATTTCGCGTCATAAAAGCATTTTGACATGCAAGTACATTTACCAATGAGCCTACCTAGAAACTCTCAGTACATCCAGCAACTCCAAAGCTCTTAAAACTTTCTCATTGTGTAAGTTACATGTTACTCTCCTGGCTTTATAACATGTAATTGTATTCTCAATTGTATTTACCCCATGGCATTGATTCTGTATGTTCATTGAAATGCAAAAAAAAAAAAAAAAAAAAACGCATGCACGAGCGCTCTTCACAAAGCACGCGTTAGTATTTTAAAATGAAAGCAGCCTTCTCAGTGATTTTCATGGTTTTAATATAAGCCAACTGCATTCCAAAATACATAAATAATGCCTCTGTGAAGCATTTGTAAAGAAAATACCCGCGGGAGAGAACGCGCACTGCAACAGTGTAACGTTATAACATCAAGCAAAGCGGCAAAACCTGTTCAATGAAGCCCGCGAATGTCCTTGTAATTTGGTTCAACCCCGACCTTTATAAAATAACGTTACTATGTTTTGGAAGGTTCGAGCGGTGTCGTGTGTGTGAGTGAGGAAGAGAGAGAGCGAGAGAGCGAGAAAATAGAAGCAAGCAGATTCAGAACACGGTTCGTTTCTAAAGCATGCGCAGCGTCATCACGCATCTGTGTTTAAAAACTAAGCTCATACTCGATTCTGAAATTCTCTGAATCGATCCAGGATTGTTAAGGAGAGAATAAATAACACAATACACTGTTCTTTTCTGGACGCCAGACCGCGTAGCGTGGCAAGTTGATGCTTTATCTTGCAGACTGCTTTTCTCTCGCGTATCAAGTGACCAGTGTAATCGCAGCTCTTGCGATTACAAAATCACGTTTCATCATATCGCGATTTTATCGCAAATGCAATTAATCGTTCAGCCCTACTGGGAGTAAGTTCATCCAACTCAGAATATGTATATGATTAACACACCAGAAATTCTCAACAAAGCAATGAAGCAAAGCAAAACAGACCAAAAATTAATTTCAAAGTCAACTATCCCTTTAAGACGTTAAGACGACTGCTCTAAACAATTCCCAATTTAGCTTAGTCTGTAGGCCTAATGGTTGATTAGTAACTGGGGTGATATTAAATCATGAATACCAAAACTGATATGTCGGGACAAAATTTTGACTCGCACTTGCTTCCTCAAAAACTCTGTCTCGACTGTATTTGAAAACCAACGGGCTCGGTCACGACTCGGACTCGACCCTTCAAAGACTCTGTCTTGGCATAGGCGGTCTCATCCCCATCACTATTACTTACCCTAAAAGCTACCTCCATTTTTTGGAACCAAAAGGTGAGGTTATCTGATTACTTTCTCTTAGACACACACACAGGTATGTCACATGGTTATGAATTTCTAGAATACAACCCAGGACTAACTGTTCGACCATACTTCAGAAACTCACCTCCTTTTCTGAAGAGGTAGACAGGCACAAGATACAGCATGGAGTGTTGAATATAATAGATCTCCTTTTCAAATGGAAGCTGTGACAGGGGAAAAATATGTTTAGATGACAAAAACATACAGAGAGCCTTGCATTCTAGTCTTATTTGGTGTCAGCATGTTATACTATAACTACTGTATATCCTAATGCAATAAGCATCTAAACAAACAACTAAACCATTACAAATATAGTATCGATGCAAGCAGTGATAACGGGCTCGAGCACTATGGTGCCATCGCCACCTGGTGGCTCTAGGAAAACAATATAAATCAAGGTCAGGTAAAAAAAAAAAAAAAACACTTCCTGCTACCATTTGGTAGTACTATGATGACCTAAGCCTACAATAACCATAAACATGTGATCAGCTCCCATCAACATACAAAATAACCATCACCACCTCCACAAGACAATGGCAGTAAATACACACAATTCCATCTCTCTGACTACTGTCACAGTGAAATATTACAGTGATGGAAGTGCACTTATTTTTTCCTGTACAGTACCCAAAAGATCTGAAGCACTTGATGCGAGGATAGAAACTATGATTCACTGTTCGCTTGTTGGCCAGAGGAATGAGCCTGGGTTTTCCAAATGATTTTTCTCTATTATGTCACCTGAGGGAGTTTTGGTACGGTCACTGTTGCCTGACTTTTGGCTTGCTTAGTTAGGTACATTTAATATTCAACGATATTATTGATCTGCCTTTCTTCTTGAAACAAAATTTGTTGTATTATTTTCATTTTATGAAGCTGCTTTGATACAATCTGTATTGTAAAAAGCACTATATAAATAAAGGTGACTTGACTTGACTATGAATAAAAACTCTGGATAGTGTTGCACCTCTCTGTTTGAAGAAAAAAATTAAAGAGAAACCCCCACACATGGGTACAAATTCAGACTCATGCTCTTAAGAAAGCACGTGAAGATTACAAGTTAAGAGAAAATGAAAATGTGATCTCATCTTATCGGAAAATGATGAGATCTTCATATTTGAATGCTCATAAAAAAAATGACAAAAACAATCTCAGGAATTTCTCCTCACAGCACAGTACTGTAATACCTTAATGAACTTCAATAATAAAATTAAGACAAGCAGAAAGAATCATAGTAGAGCCTGACCGATATGGGGTTACTGATATTATTTATGTATTATATATTATAATACAGTAGCAATATTTTTATGTCTATATTATAGTACAGAAGCAGTTAAATGCTTGGACACACACCATTCTTGACTGGTACTGTACTGTATATACAATACAGTATGCATATTTTTTGCAATGATCACTCAAATGTGGTGATCAAACACTTGTGTGACAAAAATATGTAATGGAGGCAGGGTGAATGATTGAGAATGATAAAATACAAAATGGCCCTATATAAAGTGTTATAATTATAAAAATTATTGAAGTATTGCTTGATTTTGTAACGTAGCGTTGGGCTGTATAGGTTGACACAGTGCCTAAACCAGTTGTTGCTTGCGTTGCAACAGCGGTTTACCCTGGACGTTAATGGTTCTACGGTCTTTTGTCGCATTGCGCCACTCGCTTCCAGTGTCTTGTTCAGGCAGCAGCAGACAAGCAGTCAAGCGATGTCTTAACGGTAAGTTGCAAACTAGTTAGAATGAGTGGTGTTGGCTTGAGACTGTTGAATGGTGACTTAACACTACTTTGTCACCTGGTGAGCTAGCCATCTTTAATACCTTGTCAGTGGAAGCTAATGTGTATCTTACACCGTTACACTCGCCTGATAGTGTATACTGGATAGTGGCTCTACTTCTACTATCATTACTGAAGTGAAATGGTTTGTTGGACAAACTACTTAGTTACACAATTTATAAGCATTTTATCTGCGTTATATGTTCTGCAAAAAAAAGTTTATATCGGCAGCATATCTGCATCATATACACCGTACCGAAATTTCTGTGATAGGCTCATATCGGCTGATAATATCGGAAGACCAATCCGATTATTACTGAAGTGAAATGGTTTGGTCGGGCTCTATGCTCATAGTATCTCCAGTGAACAGCTTCAGGCATTTGATGTTATAGGACAAGAAGGGTGAACAAAACTTATTTAACATATGCTGTAACCTATATCCACTAAGCTACTGAAAGAGTTGTTACCTGTAATCTCAGAATATCCTCTGAAAATTATTAACTTTTCCCTTTCTTAAGGGAATGTCCCAAAAACTTTCAAGCTGGCAGTAATCAAACCCTTATCAAGAAGACCCAGCTTGACCCAGGAGAACAGATTATCTCCAATCTCCCGTTTATGTCTAAAATGTTAGAAAAAAGTAGTGTCCTCCCTATTTGTTTCTGCCACATAAAATATAATAAACATCCAAAACAGGCACAAAATCTAAAAAAATCAGTTTATTGCTCTTCAGAATGGATCTCCCCTCCATCATTAAATGCATTAGAATCCTTAAAAGAATACTAGCTACAAAACAAATATTGGGTTCTATGTAATGTGGAACTTAAACAACGGTTAAAACAAAGTAAAATGTAGAATACAAACATATTATGCTCATTGACTGTCTCTGTTGTCTATCCTTGTTATTGAACATGACAACATTAAAGGGTTAGTTCACCCAAAAATGAAAATTAAGTCATTAATTACTCACCCCCATGCTGTACCAACCCCGTAAGACCTTCGTTCGTCTTCGGAACACAAATAAAGATATTTTTGATTAAATTTGAGAGCTACCACATTGGCTCCTAAGGGACTGCCTCTTGACGGCCCAGAAAGTCAATGAAGAAAATGTTTAAATATCCCAAGTGACTACCGTGGCTCAACTATATGTTTATCAAGCGACGAGAATACTTTTTGTGCGAAAAAACAAACAAAAATAACGAGTTTATTCGACTATTCCTTTTCTTCCTTGTAGGCCAGAAACGAGACTTCCTTAGATTTCCACGACGCATGCGCGAGAATTGCGATCTCCTTACACTACTTCAGTTCAGTTCTCGCGCATGCGTCGTGGAAATCTATAAGGAAGTCTCGTTTCTGGCCTACAAGGAAGAAAAGGAATAGTCGAATAAACTCGTTATTTTTGTTTGTTTTTTCGCACAAAAAGTATTCTCGTCGCTTGATAAACATATAGTTGAGCCACGGTAGTCACTTGGGATATTTAAACATTTTCTTCATTGACTTTCTGGGCCGTCAAGAGGCAGTCCCTTAGGAGCCAATGTGGTAGTTATACAGCTCTCAAATTTAATCAAAAATATCTTCATTTGTGTTCCGAAGACGAACGAAGGTCTTACGGGGTTGGTACAGCATGGGGGTGAGTAATTAATGACTTAATTTTCATTTTTGGGTGAACTAACCCTTTAAGCATGCCTACAAATGAACTTGTGCATGTGCATAAAAAAACCAAACACCAATTGCAAAAGCCTATATGGCGCATACGTTTTAACTACATACCTTACATCGCCAGTTGGCAGAATGTACACGTGCACTAAAACATACATTACGTCACTACACAACGTCATCGTGCTACAGTCTACAGTGAGGAATACTTGACAACTGAAGTGTTTTCAACCACTGCTATAGTGTAAGTAACTTGGTAACTTTATTTAATAACTTTACATTATTATAATGAATATACTCACCAGTCTAGTGTTGACTACTGGAAAGAGAAGAGCTAGAAGGGCTCCATTCAGCATGTGGACCTGAAGTCTTCAAAATAACAACAAAAAAAAATGTTAAAAATCACAGTAGAAAGCTCACAGCAACACTATATCTATCAACACTACAGGAACACAGTTATGCTGCCTTGAAGCAGACAAATATGTGGCATGCATAAAGAAGGCAATCCCACAATACTTAAATAAGTTGTAAATAATAAAAAATACAAAAAGATATTCTAGACAGATAGATATCTCTGCTTTGCCAGAAGACTGTTAGCAGTGAGAGTATGCGCTTTTGCCAAGGAAATTATTGTGTCAAGGGGGAGTGGTTTAGCGATCTCTGCAGACTAGCCAATCTCGCAAGCTCCCCGATTTCAACGGGGAGAACTGGGAACTCTAGAACCAGAAAGAAAGATTCCTGATTTTAGACATACGTGACAAATAACAAATACATTACATCTTGACTGCGGGTTTGAAAACCTCAGGAACCTAAGGAAATTAAACTGTTTCCTTAACCTTTGCAACGCTAATGAAATGATCATAATGAACTGTGTTTACTTGGGCGACAACTTCAAAAAGAAAAAGAAACATGGCACCTTATAAAAAAATAGGCCCATTTTATTCAAGACACCGTTTCACGCTGGCGAACGATCCCGGCTTAAAGGGTACATATCATTCTTTTAAATCATTCATTTTTACATATAAATCATTCCGTTGTGGTATATATAAAACATAACTGCAATGCTTGGGTCTGAATTCCTCATTATTATAATAATAGCTATAGCTCCACAAGCCCCTTTTCTACCCCTTTTCTGATGTGCGTCTTTGAGTGACCCGTTTCAAAGCGGCCGCTTTAAATAAAAAGGAGATGCGTCATACCCCGCCAGCCCCAAAGAGCTACCCTAAACCCCGCCCTTTACCTCAGGAGTACACATTAATAATGCTGAATCAAACAGTAATTCACACATAAAAGAGAACACTCATTATTTCACACATAAAAAGAGAACACTCATACAGTACCTATTCAGTAAAGCCTGCTTCCATTTATTCATGGTCACAGGAATGCACAAAACAACTAAGTCTGGACTTAAATCCAAAGGCTTACATATTTAGAAAAATACTGATATTAAAATATGAAAATACCATATGTTTACATCACATTTCTTTATAAAGAATGATCATTTCTATTAATTTTCCACAAAATTATGAAATATGAGGAAGTTTGAGTGATCTATCCAGTGTAACTTATTGTATACTGTCTTTTATCCTTGCAATCAGAGCAAGAAAGTTAACCAGAGTATCAAAATCTAGTATCAAACAAGACACAAAGGCACAGGGAAGAAACAAATGAAACATGAAACCAAACAAATATTTGATTGTAATCATATGTCCAAGTTCTTAAAGGTCCCTTTTAACAAGAGGTTTCGGGTGTCCCCAGAATATATTTGTGAATTTTCAGCACAATATACCCCACAGTTAATTTATTATAACCATTTGAAAATGTAATTTTTGGGGTCTGTTTTAACAATGACCTGTTTTGGTGTGTACCACCCTAAATGTAAATGAGCAGCATCTCCCCGCCCTGCCTTTGCATGAGCATGTAACTTGCATACCTATGGCAATAAACAGTCTGTCGAAGCAGAATGGCTGAGAGAGAGAAACCCGGTGTTTTGTATGGCATTCAGCCGTACATGTTTGAACAGGAATCAGACCCAGATGACGAAGAGACTCCGGCAGAAGAAACACAAATAGTGTTTAAAGTAAAGATTGCAGCAGCATCTTTCATAAATCAAACAAAAATGTAAATGCCATAAGAATAGATGCCAGGTAGATTACCTGGGTAGAATACCACCTTAGACATCCATGATCAAGCATCATGAGGGACACAAAGAATCATCTGAGCGATTCTGCATTGAAAACTTCTGTGAGGGACACTTCTTGTCAGACTATTCTGGCTTCATGGATATATAGTGCTTTTTTGCTTCATGGTTTTCTGTGTCATCACATGGTATATATATGATGTGTTAACACACCTTGTTGTAAATTTGTAAACAGTTTTTAAAAGTAAAGTATCTATATAATCTTTTAACAAACTCTGCAACACATAAGTTGTATGTGCCTGTAACTATTTAAAGTTACAAGACTGTAAGATGGAGCAAAACAGGTGTAAAAAAAAAACAGGTGAACAGGTTTTTTTGTAAAAAAAAAACAGGTGAATGTACTTATGGTTTAAATTTGCATTGTGTGAGGAGATATTAGAACTATCAAAGGGGGACCGTGGTAATCCAAATGCTGTGGTTATGTGGTCACTTCTGAGGGTCTATTTAATGGTGCTTTTTCACTGCTTGGTATGGCTCGCTTTAAATGGTATGGCTCGCTTTTAATGGTACCACCTATGTTGAGGTTCCAAGCGAACCGTACCGATATTAAAATGTGACATTACAACAATACAGATCACTTATTGGTCAGCGAGAATCTTCACTACCAGCGTCATTGGATATGCAACACTAAACACGCTAGATTTAAATAGTCAGCAACAGCCACCACATTATTATTTTTCACACAATTTTTATTAAACGACTTGCTTAAAAAAAAAAAAACTTCACATAAAGAAATGGCTGAATCATAGTGACCAGTCAGTAGATGAGGTGCAGATGTTCCTCTGGTACTAAACTGCAGTCGAAGTGCAAACCGAACCAAAGCAAGCCGAGCCGAGCCAAATTGTATCCATGCAATGGAAAAGCACCATAAGAGCAACACCTTTAAAGACTGCCTTTCACAACCACTAGTTGGCGCTGTTGGCCTTAGTCGACTAGTCGGAAACAAAATGATGACATATATTTATAGATACATATTTTTTGTGAACTATCCCTTTAAGTACAAGCGGCAGTACTATATACTATAAGCACTATAAAGGCCAATTTATACTTCTGCGTCGAGGGTACGCCGTAATGTGCGGCGTTGGCTACGCACGTAGGCGACGCCGTTATGAGCATTTATACTTCTGCGTTCAGGTCTTGTTGCTCTGCAGTACTGCTCCGAAACGCTAGTTGGCGGTGGAGAGTTTTAATGTTCCACTGTGTTTACATTCCTCGCGGCTAGGGTACTACAAGCAATAGCGATTGAAAGAGAGTGGATCATGTTGGAGTTGGAGCTTATTGAGGTGGAAAAACAGTTCACTTTAGTGAAATTACTTAAACTGAAAGGCAGAAATGAGAGAAGACGTCGGAGGAGATGGTACGTGTGGAAATCATAGACAGTGATGGAAATGCGTGAGAAGGTACGTGCGGAAATGCGTAGGAGGAAATGCGATGCTACCAAGCCGACCAATCACCGATCTTGCGGTCCGCGTCGTCGCGACGTGTAGTTACATTTTTGAGGAGGTGCGCGTCAGGCGACGGCGAAGGGTACGCGCAATGGGACGCGTCTGTGCGTATGCTACGCCGTACCTACTGCGCGCACCCTACGCAGAAGTATAAATTGGCCTTGAGGCGCACCTTCAATGACCTATTTTAGAACATTTTTCAAACGTTTGACTGGGTTTGCGTTATGCATCCACTAGATGTGCTAAAGGGAATGCAGCGAATGCGTGGCGTCAGAGGTGAGGCATTTATTTAGTAAGCGTGCGCGCGCTGGGGCGGGCACGTAACTTACATTCGCAGCCTGACTCGCTGACAGCAACAGCTGTTGAATGAGACGACCCGATTACTGTGAACGGGGAGCGCTTTATGCACATTCTGTGACGCGCGAGCAGCACCGGGGACAGTGTGTCTGTTTGTGTGTGTGTGTGTGTGTGTGTTAAGAGAGCGCTCGTGAGCGGGAGACACACATAACCTGATTTATACGAGGTTGAACTGGCCGTGTGACAAAGCGAGCATAAGATGGACACGAGCGCGAGCAATTGATCTATATATAATGCGCTCCAGATTATAATGCTTGAGAAAAGGCCAGATTGAGAAAATTAAAGGCTTTTAAGTGCCTTATAGTGAGGAAAATACGAGTACTACTGTCGCTTTTAGACCAGCATGCGACGTGTTTAATATAGACCCATATTACACACCAGATTTTCTCTCAAATGTTTGCTTTCACTTTAGACATAGCCAATTCTGTTTATGTAAACATTGTGTGTATTTAACAGTATTAGCATAATAAGACTCGAAAGATAACTTAGTCCAGTATTCAGGCGCTGTTTGACAGGCTTCTAGTGCCTGTGAGCGTCGGGGGTATGCCGCGCGCTCAGGAAAGCGCACGTTAGAACAGCGCGTGAATTAAATGTTTAACCGGCAAGGCTTATGCAAATAATGAACTTTTGTTAATTGCAGTGTCCCGTACCTATTCCTTAACGTGTGATGTGTAGGCTACGTCGCGTTGTACAGTTCAGACAGAGGCGCCAGAACTGATAGAATGCACTGTAACACGATACTACCATATTTCTTCAAAAGCAGATCGTGGAGACAGAGTCATATCGCACACCCCTAGAATAAACCATTTAATGACTAGTCGTTGACTGTTATGCAAAACTAGCCGACTAGCAAAAATCAGTAGTTGTGAAACCCCTAATACTTAGACTTGATGACTGCAGCCAAAAAAAATCTCAAAAGAGCTAAAGAGATACCCAAATCTCCTGGTCTTTGCTTTTGAGTTTGCTACAAAATAAGCAAACTCAAAAGCAAAATAGGCACCCATTTGCTTTAAATGCGTATAGAGAAAATTAATTCACCAGAGATGCACCGTTCGAATGGCCAACAATTGGAACTGGATGGGTTTTGCTTGTTTCATTTAGGCCGATCTATGTTCCGGATTTGCACACAAACTGCAGTGGAATCATGTCCCAAAATTACAAATGTCAATGTCATTTGTAAACCGTACGTTGACACAGGCCAGAGATGGGACACGCTGAAGATGCGAGGAGAACACAAAGAGGAGAGCACATGTGCGCCTAAAAGAGAAAATACTGTTTTTGTTTGTGCTTTGTGTACAGCAGGGAAACACTATATCGCAGCTGTTCCATAAGTACTGTCAGAGAGTACATTTGCATTTTCATTCAGT